CTCAAAAAGCTTACAATCTAATGGAGAGGGAGGGGACAATGCATAAACAAATATATACGAAGCAAGCTATAGACAGGATAAATAGAAAATAATTTAAAAAAGGAAAGCTTCCTGTAGAAAGTGAGATTAAAAACAAGTCAAGTGATATTGATCTTATTTTTTTTGACAAAGTTATTGGACTGGTAGATGAGGGAAATGCTTCAGAATAATATGCATGTATACTGGGAAAGTATTTGAGGTACAGTACAGTACCTTACCATACCAAGAAACGTGGGTTTGCTCATTGATACTAGTTAAGTAAATTTGGTTACCAGTTGAATGGTGGTATTCAGAAATGGTGATTAATAAATTGATGCCAAACTGGACGGAGTTCTTTAATAGAGAAAGACTGAGATTTGTCTTGGTCTTATTTTAACATATTTTTAATCAGTAATTTGGATGAGGGCAAAGGGGGGGTGCTTGTCAATTTGCGGATGACATGGAGCTGAGGAGGATAGCCAACATGTGGGGTGACAGAATGGGAATCTTCCCCTTCTGAGTCCCAGGCTCATCACACATAAGAGCGGAATGGAGTAGATGATTTCCAAGGGCATATTCTATTTTCTATTTTCTATTTTCAGAAGTCTGTTCTGAGGGAGAATTTTTTCAGCTGCCCTTTTGATGATTTGAACTTTACTGTTATTTCTTTCCCTTGTAAATAAATTTCTTTAGGAAAAGCACAGTTAATGTCTTGAGTATGTGGTAGGAGGCAAAGGAAGAAAGGAAGGATTGGGTACCAGAGCCCCCAGACATTCTTTTTGGGGGGGCATGAAGGAGGTTCAGAGCCTAGATATTGAGCTTTGGTCGGCTCAGCTTAGAGTACAGTGATTTCTGTCTTGAGCGTAGAAATCACCAAGCCAAAGGCAAATGTTTTTCTAGGGGTCAGTTTAGAGAAGGACCTTATTTATAGGAAAGGGAGATCATTAGCAAGGCCTTGGCTGGGGGTGAATTTATAGTTCTTTCTTATGTCAAGCTGAAATCTTCTTCTGCTGAAATTCTTCTTCCCTGTCCTGTTCCTAATTTCAACCCCTGGAGCAGCAGAAAATGTCTCCTCCCTCTTCAAATGATCTTTGTATGACATGGTTTCCAGTCATCTTGACAATCTCAGAGCAATGTGGTTTAGCGGAAAGAAAACTGGATCTAGATGAGTCACTTAGCCTCTATGTGGCTCCATTTTCTTATCTGCTAAAAGGAGGGCGTTGGGACTAAGTCTTCTAAAGTCTCTTCCAACTCTCTATCCAATGATTAGCTACTTTTGAATACATTCTAGTTCAGGAGTTCTTCAATTTTTTCTGTTCTACAGACCCCCTTTGGTGGTCTAGTCAAACTTACGGACCCCACGCTCAGAATAATGTTTTTAAATGCACAGACTCAGCATTACAAAGGAAACCAATTATATTGGAATAAAGTTATCAAAATATGTTTAAAAATCAAGTCACGGACTCTAGGTTACGAACCCCTGCTCTAGTTTGTCAAGGTCCTTAAAATGTAGTACTGAACCCAATTAATCAATTGACATTTCTTAAGCCTCTATATTGTACCATGTGCTGCACTGTGCTGGGCATTAGGGATGCATAGAGAAAAATGAAGTCTCCAATCTCAAAGAGTTTATATCCTATTAATCCAATACCCCAGAGGTAGTCTGATCAGGGCAGAGCACAGTGGGACTATAACTTTTTGGTTCTAGACGCTAAACTTTGATTACTGCAGTCCAAGGTGAAATGGTTAAACAAAGTCTGAATGAAGCTAAACTTTCACTAGTGTGAAGGTTCTGGCCTCCTTTTACCAAGACAGAGCTGAGTCTGTTTGTATAGGTGGTGGTAGATGGGTGACTGGGAGCTAGTTTCTTCACTTGAACAGTCAGAAATCCAGGAGGAAAAATGGTAACTGCTTTGCTTGGTTCTGTTCAAGCAAGGGTTAAGGTTACAAGTACTCCTGGGCAGCACATTCTTCCCATGATATCAGATTTTCAGCACTAGAAGGAGTTCCCTCCAAGGAATGTGGATGGCATTTTATCAGCCCAGAGTTCAGCCTCAGATAGGGATCACTGCCCCTCTTCCCCTTCACCTTGAACTTGATTACAATTTCTGCAGTTTGAGCTTTGGCCCAGCCTTGTCTCACCTGGACTGTGTCACTCTGAATTAGGCTGCCTTGAGCCTCGATCTTTACAGGGCAGGACTGGGGCTCTGTTTGGAAATGTAGATGGGGCACCCCTCCACTCCTTCCTCAAATCTATGGCTTTTGTTCAATTAGGGATATGCAGGAGCTTGGGAGAAATTTCAAAATGGCAGCTTGGTACCGGGAAAGAAGGTACAGCACATTTGGTTTTTGTTTTCTTTCTTGGAATGAAAACACATTTTATTTCTGTTTTTAACTGGGAAAATATGAACCTCTACGTGTCAGCCACAGAAATAGGTGCCAGGAATACAATGGTGAAAAAGGACACAATCTTGACCTCAAGGTGCTTGCAACAGAATAGAGCAGTGGGGAAGATTAAACAGAACACATGCATAACAATCAATTAAAAAGCATTTATTAGGTGCGCTGTGCTAAGCACTAAGGATACAAAGAAATGTAAAAAACAGTCCCTGCCCTCAAGGAGCTCACATTCTAATGGGGGAGACATGTAAATTACTAGGTATAGATAGACAAAATATATATAGAGTATATGGGGGATAATCTCAAAGGGGAAATATAATGTACGGAAGGAACACAGAGATTGAAATAAGGTGCCCAAGGGAAATTTATTAAGGAAAAGATCATTCTGAAATGGGTGGGGTGAGGGAATAGAAAAGGCTTTGTGGAGGAAGTGAATACTTCAGTGAAAAACTTTTTTTGGCTGATGTGTGGAGGTTGAGGTGTGTTCCAAGTATGGGGGACAACTTGTACAAATATGTATAGGTAAGGTGAGGGAAAGAAGAAATCTGGGAAACAGCTAGTAGCCAGATTTGTCTGGAAGAGTGAGTTGTAGCAAATCCAAATTACAGAGGATCTTAAGTGTCAGGTTAAGAAGTTTGTATTTTATCCGACAATAGGGAGCTACTGACAGCTTTTGAGCAGGGCCATGATGTCTAACCTGTATAATCAGAACCTTAAACCTTTGGAAAGCTCTTTCATTTCCAGTATCTCATTTAAACCTCACAAAGCCTCTCTGGGGTAAGTACAACAGGATTATCCCCATTTTACCAATGAGGAAACAGAGGTTCAGGATGTGTGTTAAAGTGAATTACTCAATATCATATAATTATTGAGAACTGGAACCTGGGATTCTAAGATTTGTAACTCGAAAAGACAAGATTTCATCTCGTCCAACCCCTTTATGTTTTAGAGATGAGGAAGCTGAGGCCCAGGGGAGTGTAGTGACTTAATTATGATCACACAAGAGAGGAAGAACTAGGCTTTGAACTCAAGCCTCTGACTCCAGAGTTATGCTCTGGGCCCCGCGTTCCTGTTGTCAAGCCATGTTACATCAAAGGAATATCTTGACCACTGTTTCTTTGTTTTTGCAACAGTCCATGCTTCACTTGGACTTTAGTCTTTGTACTTAGCTACGTGTTCCTGGCCTGTTTCTTATTCATTCTCATTTCTGGTAGGGGGGAGATGCTCCTTCGAGAAATAGTGCAAAGCCCCCCTCTCTTCTGAGTTTTATTAATTCCCTCTGTTCTCAAACTTAGGGGCGGTGTGGCAGAAGGCTCTTCCCATTATTTCTTCCATAACGGAAGCATCAACGAAGACAAATCTCCATGCTGGCCTCTTTTTTGGGGGTAAAATCTTCCCAAGGGCCTTGTAGACATCAAATACCTGGGAGGGATCAAGCTGTTATTTTTGTCATTTGAAACTCCGGAAAATAGGACAAAGACTCTGAGCTAGCAGCATGGGACACATGTGGCAGGTATCTTAATTGCTCAGGCTTCCATAGGATTATAGATTCAGTGCTAGAAAGATCCTCAGAGGCCATTTAGTTCAGCTCTCTTTTGCAGATGAGGAAAGGGAGGCCCAGGATGCTAAATGACTTGCCTATGGGCATCTCTGGCTTAAGAGTCAGAAGCAGGATTTGAACACAAATCATCTGAGTCCTTGTCTCTGACTCTCACTCTCTGGAAGACCACAGACAAGTTACTTAAAAAAATTTTTTTAAGGTAAGTCACTTAAAATTCCTGGGCCTCCATTTCCTAGTCTGTAAAGTAAAGAAATTGGATCAGGTAGACTCTGGGGCCTCATTCATCTCCAGGTCTAAGAATTCAGGACCTTCATCTGGTAAGTTTCAGATCTGGAGGACTAGACAGCCCAAGGAGTACTGGCCATCAGAGTCCCACCTTAGCTTCAGCCCTTCTTTGCTGCTGCTTGGATGGTAGCAGAAGACCCTTGACTATCTCTACTACTCCTTCTCCTTCCCCTCTATGGGTAGTGCTCTCTCTGTTGGCCTATGAAATGAGGGTGAGAGTGTAAAGTGACTTCATGAAGCAGGAATGTACCAGTAACAGCATGGCTGAACTTCAGCTCCTGGTTACAGCTGCCCTGAATTACTCTGCATGTGCCTATGTGTGATATCCCCAACAAAATACCAAGAGTCAGAGGGCACTAAGGGAAAAATACACGGAAGGTCAATGCCCACTGAGTAGGTTTGGGTTGAAAGATCTGGGTCTCAAGATATCTGGAGCTATCAGAGTCTAGAAAATACCCAAAATATCTGGAGGAAATCAGGCTATGGTCCCTTTCCCTCCTAAAATGTCTGTATTTACCACTAACTCATTATGTGAAAATTCTTTGTCATCACGGATGGCTCTCTAGGATGGGTAATGGAAGAAATTGAAGTGATGTAAAAACAAAAGCTATCAATAAAAATCCATTTTAAAAACTCACTGTTTGACCTTGGGCAAGTCATTTAACTTTTCTATGCCTCAGTTTTCTCATCTTTAAAATGGAGATAAAAAGCATACCTCATAATTGAGGCCAAAAAAGAAATAATAAATGGGAAAGTTCTTTCTAAAAGAGGAAAAAAAAATAAAACCGAAGTAAAGTAGTATTGTATTATTGTGAGGCATTACTCTGAATGGTCTATTTCCTTAAACAATGACTAACTGGGGAAAATCCATTGGAGTTTTGCCTGTTTTTACCAAAGCCTGATTTTTGTCCTGAAAGAAAGTATGTAAGCTCTCAGATGAGTCGGAACTTTGCCTTATTCATCAAGGTCTTGATCCCTACAATCTGTCCTACATGCTTTTGCTCTGCCTCTAGGTTCCCTATTGATCTGATTTCTGCTTGCTTGCTTGCCTGCCTGCAGTCAATGAGTGAAAACCAAAAGATCTCTTCCACTGGATCCCAACATCCTAACCAGTTGGTTCTCAGTTGTTTTGGGGGAGTTCAGAGGCTTTGGTGCTTCTAGATCCCCTTCCTTGTGACATTAGAGCCTGCAAGAAACAGGTAAGAAGTTGTGTCTGAAGACCCAGTGGGCAAAGGCAACAATGGAAGAAAGAAAGATGGAGGTCAGAGCAAACGGCTGGCTGGAAAACAGGCAGACGACAAAGAACCAGGAAGGTACAAGTGGGCAAGGTAAGAGTGTTGGTCAACTGCCAGGCACTAAAGATGACAGGAAAAAGAGGGCAGAGAGACAGGTTAGATGTTCAAATACCAGAGGCAAGTTTTCTGGCTTAGCCAGGAGCTCCCTTCATAGTCTAGGGGTCCAAGAGGAAAACGTTACACTTAAAATCAAAAGACGAGTTCAAATTTTGGCTTGGCCACTTCCGGCCCTGTGGACACTTTTATTAACGTCTTGGATGATGAGGGCATGGATGGTACGCTTGTTATATTTGTGGAGGGCATAAAATCAACATGTTAATATAGCTACCATTTGGGATGACCAAATGAGGATCTTTGTCTCTCTGGGTCTCAGCTTTCTCCTCTTCAAAATGGGGGTGAAGGGCAAATTGGACTAGAACTGAATAATCTTGAAGGCCCCATCCAGCTCTAACATTCTGTGGTTCTAAAAAACTTTAGGTTCCAAATGATGTTACATAAAAAAGACCAATATTTTCAAAGTATTTTGTAGATTTTTAAAATCATTGATTTGAAGCCTGACCCCTAATTGACTGAGGTCATATAGCTAGGAATTGAACTCAGGTCCTCTGACTTCAAATTGAAAACTTTTTCTAATGGACCATGCTGCCTTTTGAAAACAAACAAACAAACAAACAAAAAAAGCCAGCTCTTATTTTTATATTTATCTTAAAGGAGACATTGGGGAATACAGAAGAATATCTAGAATATCTTCAAGGAGAAAATCATAGGCGCATAGAGCCACTATTAGAGAAGACCTTTGAAATAATCTAGTCTAAGCTCCTTCCTTTACAGGGGAGGCCTAGAGAGGTGATGTGACTTGAGCAGGGTCACTCAGCTAGCAAGTAAAAAAGCCAAGATTCACACCCAGGTCCCCAAGACTCCAAATTCACTAGAAATATTTCAAATCCAAAGACCATCCTTAGTATGATTAAATTGGGAAGTGAACAATGGAAAAAATCGTATTATCCCACCTTTCCCGAGAAGCTTTTCCTGACTCCTACTGTTCATGTTACTCTCTTTGATGTCCAAACTCCTTACCTGTGTCTTGTCATTCCATACTGCTCCTATTTGCTTAATGACAGGGTGTTCCTACTGGTCTACACTTATGTTTGTGCGCATATATGTTTGTCTCCCCAACTTAAGCTCCTATAGGGCAGGAGGCTGTGTTTTATACTTCTCCCATGATGAGTTAGTACAGTGCTGGGTATGAAGTATGTGGTGGTTGGCAAAAGTCCCCTTTGCCAGAATTATTTCATTGATTCTAGGGAGCAGGCAGAATTCCTTGTCAATTTTTAGAATCCTTGTAATTCAGTGATGATCATTTTACTTATGTTTACATTAATATTTGTACAGTAAAAATTCAACATCATTGCAGTGATATCCCAAAATTATTTAAAAAAAAAGTCCCAGTCATATTTTAGAAAAAAAAAAAAAGAGTTCATTCCTTCATCCTTCAAAACAAGATACAGTACAATCAAACCACAGTGCACATTTCTGGAAAAACACAAACAACTGTATTTTATATTACTTGCTCCTCTTTAAATAACTAACTTGGATATTGAGGAAAAGAACTGCCAATCACATTAACATATTACAGAGATCAAAATTAATTTACCACACAAAATAAATTAAAACATTAAATATTAACTTTTTCAGTGCAACATATACAGAAGAGAGAGTAACCATGACTAAAAAGTATCAGGCTGGTTAAATAAACTTAATAAAGACAATGATAAGTTGGACATTTTCATGATGGGTTAGTAAAAAGTTACAATGGGTAGTTCTTAGTTCTGAGTTTGGGCACCTATTGGTCTTTCTGTCTGTCTGGATACTATTAGGATCTTTCAGAAAGACTGGTTTCATCAGTTATTGGGAAGAACTATGGTTTGCCTTGGAGAACATTTAAACATTAATATAAGTGCTTACATCATTTCTGCAAATGGATACCTTGGGTCTCCCTAGGCCTTTGAATATTCCCAGCCCTCTTGGCTAGGCAGGGTGGGAGACATCAAGGCCTGGAAACTTGATGTCTGTCCCTGGCAACATTGTGTGGGTAAATAACAAACAGCCCATACACACACTGAAAACACTGTCCCCAGAAGACTAGCTTATTGATTCAATGCCCTTCTTACAACTGAGTATGGAAAGTCTCCCCAAAAGAAGCAGTAAAGACAGACTTCTTAAGCCCAGTGTGGGAGCAGGAAATGTCAGCTATCAAAAGCCTTTTTGGGCCTATATATCCAGATTATCTTTTAGAAAAAGGCTTAAATATTCCAACTCCCTGTCTGAGGTCAAATTACAATCCTGTTCCTTGGGCCACGTGCCAAAGAAGGTACCTCTCTCTGGGTCAAGAGGCCAATGCATCACTCGGGTTATACCATATTTTATGAGTAGGAAGACGAAATTTTGCCATTGGTCTGTGCTAGATAATTGGGTTCTGCTTTCCAGGGATCTTTGACCTTTTTTGCCTGGTAAGTTTTCATTAGCCAACCAAATCAGATATTGGGGCTCTATGGACCCAAATGTTGATTCTGTTCAAAGCATTAGCTTAGTGGCCTTGAGGATTCAACTCAAGAAAACCCTAATGGATAATTGATCTTCCGAAACTAGTAGTATAGAACCTGTAGAGGCTGGCAGCAGGGCACAGAATGGACAAATTTTAACCCAGTTGGTGGAGAAAACACCAACATAACATTTTTACAGTCAAAGACAGAAGTATCATTGCCCAAAATGGTACATTAGCCAAATGCTCATCAGCCACCCCATTTCTAAGTAAGGAATCACCAACTAATGAACTCAAATTGGGGGAGAAAGCTATTAGTTCAACTCCAGGTTCTTTAAAGAGTCATGGAGAGGAAAGACATCTGAATCCCTCTCCCTGAAAAAAGCCTCAAGTTCTTACTCCTCTAAATCATTTCTTTACTACAGCATTTTCAGGTATCTTCAAACAAGCATTTATTAGAGAGTGCTTTTTGTAAGGCTAGCACATCTAGGGGATAGATCAAAGCCATGGGGTGAATGGACATTCTATCATGATTCAGGATGAGGGCAATGGCATGAAATGAGAATCAAAGTATTGACTTATTGCAAGCCAGAACCCCTTTACAGAGAGCCATGAAAGTTCCACCTGGTTTCACTGCCTGAATGTACATGGCTGACTTTGAATGGCAACTAACACCAGCTACCAGGAAGGCATGCAGATGTTCATCAGAGAACATACAGATAATGGGAATAGAATTACACACAGGGAAATGCTACTTACAAGCAAAACCACCAAATCCCACAGACTAGATTTTAGTTCGTCCATCTTGGAAAACAAATACTTCATATTGGTACTTGAAAAAACATTTTAAAAGGAAAATAGAACTCAAATAGCCTCTGTTAAACTATGAGAAGGCAAATTTGCCTTAAAATGAAAATGTTGGCCCAAGTTAAAAACACTATCATAAGTCTATTTTCAAATTATAACTTAAAAAAAATACCTGCACTTTTATGAGTCTCTCCTCTGCACAGACGTCTTAACCTCCTAGCATGTTTCTAGAACGGGGAGGAAGCATGTAAAATAACAAAATGCCCTGTGGGCCTGGTTTTGAGTAAAGATGCCATTGTTGTTCCACAGCTCAATACACTCATGGCTCATAGGGAGGCTCAGGGTGCTTTACCTGCAAATTTGAAGCTGATGTTTTATTTTACAACTCCAGGGTAGGAGCAGGGAGTTAGGAGCTCCCAGTATAGCAAAAGTTCCAACCCCCCTCCCCCAAGTCCTGCCTTTAGGATACATATCTTTTGGATCACATGGAGAATTAAGAAGGTTAGGTAGAGAACAGATTGGATTCTCATCCTCAATTTCAGAGATTCCAAGTTACACTAATAAAGGAAAAAATCGATGCTCCAAGGCTAAGACATGGGTGACGGTATTATTATTTCAGTTCTTAAAAAAACAAACAGGAGTAAACTGAGATGAGGGTGGGAGACTGGAGAGGGAAAGGGAATGAGGGCAAGGGAGGAGTCTGTGATAGGAGAATTTCAAACTATCTTTACTCATTTAATAGAGTCCTTTCAAGATCTGAGGAGCAGAATGTATTGAAAAGTATAAGTCTCTCATTTTTCAAAGACTAATGAATAAATAGTATCCTTGTATATGGTACAGTAAATTTATATATATGTATATATATATATCTACTCATTATAATTCTATCTTGAAATTTTAACTAACAAAGTCTAGTGATATACAAGATATCTACCACTGTTCATTCAGGGATGGTAACTGCATCCTAAGCCAAAAGTACCCTACTTTTTGTCTTCTGAGGGGAAGATCTGGCCTAGAAGGGGGGGAGGAGGCTTATCTGACATTTATTTATTTATTTTTTAAAAATGATCCTTAATGGAAAACAGAAAAATCACTAGAATGTTTTGGTTAATGACTTGAAAATAAATAGGAAAGGTAAATGTTCTCAATTTTAAAATAAAGCAACAAACTGAGTTACACATGAAAAGTAAGTGACTGGTTCTCCTTTTCCTGGTTCTGGCCTGAAATTTCAAGGATGTTCCGCTAACCATCAGTTTCCAAATACAACCTAGAAGATTTCTCCAGGAGGCTGTCAACATGTTATTTTTTTTAAATAAATGAGTAATTTTCTATACACATAACAGAGCTTACTTCTCCTACACACACACAGGCACAGATCTATCTGCCTATTCGGTCTCTCTTCAGAGGGGATAAGCTTTCTGTTTGCTACTTGTCAGTTATCCCACCTGGAATAAGACTGAACTGAAGGACTGGCTTAGGGTCTCAAAGCTCAGCTTTAAAATTTCAGTGGTGCATTTTTTTTTCCTGTGATATGGTCCATGGTCTTCCTCCCCAAAGACTAAAGATTAGGATGCTGGAAATGCCTCCCTTGATCAAAAGATGCAAATATATTTTTTTGAGCTATAACTTTACTCTGTAACTAAACAGCAGAAGGAGAAAATCTAAAGAGGTTGTGTGTGTGTATGTGTGTATGTGTGTGTGTGTGTGTTTTACACTGATTTAAGAGATGAAAAATGAAACTCTTTTGCTATTTAATAAATTAGAAATGACCACCATTGGAAAAAAAAGATCAATAGAGGATTTACAATATCTTTCTATTGGTGGACACATCCAGAGGGCTCAGGGGGTTAAAGTGTTAAAGGTTCTATAGCTGGAAAAGACAATACTTCTTAGAACTAGATGTCTTTCCATAATGTAAGTAGTGACCCCATTTTGCCCCCTTCTCCCATCAAACAAATGCGACAGAACTGTAACAACTTGAAGGAAACTCATGGTTCCAGGTAAGATTCCCAAACACCACAAGGAGGGTCATGGGTACAGATTGACAATTTCATCCAAAGACAAAAATGAAGCACAGATAGACGAGGGGGAAAAAATAGAGGAAGAACTTCGGATTGAAATTTGTCCCTGGCAGCACACACACACTCACATCTACACCAAACTCAAACACCTCCACACCTGTACCCAACTCTGCTACGTAAACAAGAAGCCAACCCTCTTTGCAGTTCCTCCCAGGACCATCCGTCATCCAGTTCCAACAACACAGTCTTAAGGGTTACGTGGTCTGCTGATTTTCATCCTCAGTTCACACCAGGTAACCCCAAGCAGATGGAAGTCTTGATGAGTTCTGGAAGCCCAGCAAATAATAAAGAGGATGCATAGGAGTTTTTGAGGCAATGCAGGAAAAAAAAATGCTTGCTAGTATGTCCCCAGCAATACTTGCTTCCATGGGAAATGCACTTCTTTTAGAAGAGTCCTTTCTCCTTTATCAGGCAGCAGCAGTCCAACTGGCTGTAACCCTGGAGTCCTTCCCTCAGACCACTGTAAGAAAAGAGAAAGGCTCCATTACTGTGAGCTTGAAGCTCTCCATTCCAGTTGGCATCCCAAACAAGGAGTCATCAGGAAGGAGCTGACTTTCAAGACAGAAATTTGGAACAGGCATTAAAAAGCTCTCAATTTCTCATCACTATTATACTCGCAGGCTGTTAGGCTTAAGTCCAATTTTTGCTGTGTCCATCTTTAGGAGGTTGTTGAGAGGATAGGATGAGAATTTACAGAAAAATACTTGCAAACCATGCTATTTAAAAGCAAGCTATCATGATTATGATTATTATGGAGAGGGTGAAGGAGGAAAAATGGGAGTGAAAGAAGATGAGAAGAGGGAGAGGGAGAGGGGAAGAAGGGGAAATGGAGAGGAGGAGAAGGAGGAGGAAGAGGAGGAAGAGGAGGAGGAAGAGGAGGAGGAGGAGAAGGAGAAGGAGAAGGAGAAGGAGAAGAGGAAGGAGAAGAAGAAGAAGATGACGACTGAAACTCGGAAAGCAGAAAACCCCTCTTTAATGCTGGATTGAAAAAAGAAATTGAACACATAAGAACAAAGGGGACATCCATCATCTTGGTCTTCCCTTTAAGCCAGTACCGCTCAGCGGCCAACCTGGTGGCCTCATAGGCTTGCCAGGTGCTCAACATTATAAGTTGGATGCCCAACTTATAAGAGCATAGGATTTACATATGATTACCATGATACATAGGATTTACATTTAACCTCAATTCAGAGACAGAGAAACAGAGGACCAGGGAATAGAAGCAATCTTCCAAGGTCATAGCTAGTGACCATCAGAATCAGGTCTTGACCCCTAACACCAGATCTAGTATTTCTGACACTATACTACCAGGCCCAAAGCTTCTTAAGATCTGCTTCCAGTTCTGGGGGTCTCTGCAAGGCCACTACCCCCATAGGAAATGGGCTACACTGTCTTTCTTTGTCTATCTTCCAAAGATCCGAGAACTCATAGAAATGAGGTAATGTGCATTTGGTCTTCAACTCCCCTGGATTCATCCTGCCTACTCATGTGTGTCCGTTTCAGTGACTATTTTCTGCTTGGCCACCTACCATCAGAGACAAGGAGGGAACAGGGCATCATGGTTCCTGCCTTTGGCAGCACATGGCATCTACAACAGGTTGGAGGTTTGGGGATGGGACATTTGTCTTGCCTACAGTAATTCACATTTGGCCTTCCCTGAAAAGCCACATAATTCAGTCATTAATAAAAAGATTTGGAGGTGGAAAGAAAGGTTAAAGCATAGAACATTGAGTTCCAGAGCTGTAAGGAACTTGAGAATGCACAGAATCTAGATTACTAGGATTGGGAAGAATCTTAGTACATGTTAGAGCTAATGGGACTTTTAGAGCTAAGGGCTAGAGCCTGGATATCATTTGCATCAACATCCTTATTTTATAGATTTGGAAATGAGGCAGCATTGTATTGTGAAAAACAGCACTGGGTTGGGAGTTAGAGGACCCAGGTTCAAATTCTACCTCTCACTATGTGACTTTAGACAAGGCACTGAAGCTCTGGTCTCCATTTCTCATCTTTAAAATGAGGGTGTTGAAGTAGATGGCCTTGAAAGTCTCTTCCATCTCTAGACTTGGGACTCTAGGGTGTTCAGAGAATAGGAGGCATTTGTTTGCCCAAGGTCATACAGGTAGTAAACAGCAGAGCCAGGATCTCAACTCAGATTTTTGGACTCTAACTCTAGTATTCTTCTCACTACAATGTTATTCCTTTCAATGAAGCCAAAGAGACGATAGGGGACACCAAAAAGGAAGGGGATGCCATGCATTCTAAATAATTGCAATGAACACCAAGTCTTCCTCAAACTAGAGGTCTATCCAGGGTGTTGGGTTCAACTGGTGGGGAAATATTTACCTTTACTAGTTCATTCACTTATTCAGTGGGTTGTCCCAGTGGGTTAGTGGAGGTATGTCTGTGAGAAGGTAAGGTTTGTATGTCAGTCCTGAGTTTTCTTCCCAGGACAGAAGCATAAGATGGTGGAAAGAGCTCTGGCCCTGGAGACAGAAGGCTCAAGAGAGCTATATTGGAGTTCTGGCTTTGATAGTTCCTCGCTGTGTGGCCTTGGAGAAGTCATTCACCTTCTTTGGGATCAATAAAATGAAGGGGAGGGAACGTTAAGGTTCCTTCCAGCTTTTAACAGGTTTTTCTGTGATGCTGTCCTACTACAATGGCATGACTTGAGGCATGTCACTTTACAGCCTCAGTTGCCCACACTTTAGACAAACAAAGAGTGAGCATCATTTACTGCCCACTTTCCTCTTAATGGTACATCAGAGATGAAAAAGTCAGCCTTCCCCAAAAGGAATGTGAATATCTCTGCATGTACTATATACACAAGGGAGTATAGTCATGGGTTACAAGTATTCCTCAGGTTTCTTCAACTACCTCCATATCCCCTATTTGAAAATGCTTGCCCTATATACAACAGACTTCACTGCAGTTAAAGCTTAGCCTGACATTCCTTCATTCAGCTCAGCTTACTAGAAGCACATGTGGAGGGAATATGTAAACCATTCAGAGGAAAGGGTTTGGGTTGCCAGGCTTTGGAAAATCCTGAGTATCTGGTCTGTCCCTGGGCAAATCTCTCTTCTTTTGTTCTGTGATTTAGAGGTAAAATTTCAAAAGCAATTTTAAATTATGTGCTTGCAATTGAATTAGCCAACAGGTAATCAAAAGCTTCATCAAAGCTTCACTTTCAAAACCTTAGTTGATGTTGGGGAGGACTTTGAGAGTTTATTTTTTTCAGATAAATGGAATTTCAAATTCTAAAACAGTTGGGGTCAGTACTTCAATACTGGTAAGACTGACTCAACGGAAGGTTTGTTGTTGTTGTTCAGTCATTTAGTCATGTCTTACTCTTCATGACCCCAGTTGGGATTTTCCTTGGTAGAGATACTGGAGCGGTTTGCTATTTCCTTCTTTAGCTCATTTTACTGATGAGGAAACTGAGGCAAACAGGGTTAAGTGACTTGCCCAGGGTCACGCACAGTAAGTATCTGAAGCCAGATTTGAAATCAGGAAGACAAGTCTTCCTGACTTCAGGCCTGGCACTCTACCCACTGAGCTACCTAGCTGCCTAAAATGAAGGACCTAGATTGTAAATCTCTGGAGGATTGGCCTTATTGTCTATTCCTCCAGTCCTTCAGTGACATTTTAAAATCATCCATAGCTTTCTATTTGCCCATCGAGTGAAGGCCAAATTCTTCTCCCTGACATTCAGGGCTCCCCACTATCTAGAGCTACCCAAATTTATGTCACATTACTCCCCTCCATGTACTCTATACTCCAGCTAAACTGGACTCATGCTTGTGTGGCTAGGCTTTTACTTATGCTGTTTTCTAGGCCTGGAATAACACTCCTCTCCCTTTTAAACTATTGAAATCCTATCCATCCTTTAAAATTCAACACATTCAAATGTCACAAAACCCCTGATCCCCGGTGGATAATAGCCTCTCCCTCCAAACTTCACAGAGAATTTTGTGTGCACCTCTTTAAGGCACCTACATAATACTGTGACTTAATTTGTGTTGATGTCTTAGCTTCTTATTACACTGTAAGTTCCCTGAGGGTAGAGACATTGTTTCATCTAAACTTTGTATCTCCTGCAGTAGAGTTGAGTGTTCTGCACATAGTAGGTACTTAATGTTCACTGGCTGACTAATGACACAGGTTCATAAAAGCTCCCAAGCACTTTCAACTCTCATCTAAGTAATGCAAAAGCAAATCAGGATCAACTTGGTTAAAAAAAAATAGAAATCAACCTTCCTTCCACTGCCTCACCTCTATTTCCCTTCCAGGAAAGAAGCTGGCTGCTGGAACCTCCAAACAGAATACATCCCCAGGACTTTTGTGCTCACCTGTCTCTGAGCGACAACAAGCTGTTCCTCCCTTCAAGAGGTCACTGGGCTTCTCATGCTGACAGACGAAGCCCCGGCACCACTCACAAGGCCTCCTTATCCGACAGCAGCTGGAACGCAAGAGGGGCAAGAAGAGAATTTGAACACGGACTTAGCCATTAACAGCAGCCAAAAGCCACATCTGAGCTTGCCACAGAAAGGGAATGCCTGGACGTTATCTCCCTCCAGCCGTGCTGAGAGCACACGGGCATTACGAGAACCTTAGTATACCTGTATTTTGGGGCCAGTGGGCACAGAGGAGAGAGAGGCAGATTACAGTTCAAAATAAGGAAAAGTCCCACGTTGAAACGGGTTGCCCATGGAGTTAGAGAGGTTCACCTCTTCAAGAACAGGCAGAATGATCCCTGTCAGAGACGGTGAAGAGGCCATTGTGAGCTGCGAATGTGTTGGACTAGAATGATCCCTGGAGTTTTTCCTAACCCTAAGATTTAGTGATACTTCTGTTCCCTCCAGTTACAAACACACTTTTGCCAGTTTTCTGGGAGTATTAGAATCACTTTCTCCTTTCTATAACTGCATTTACAGAATCCTTTGAACTCTTCCCCTGAACCCTGGCCTCCTCAATTTTCCCCAGAGGGCTTCATACCTAGCTGCCTCCCAGACAAGAGAACTGTGTTCATGAATGAATATTCCTGAAACCCTGTGGATGAAGTTGAAAGACCCTTTTTAAACAGAGCACCACTATTAATAAACAGTTATTAAGGCTGAACACTAAGCAGCCATCCCAATAGCATCCATGCCATACCTCTTCAAAGATCTGAGGAAGATGAAGTGAATAGTTATCCACTTCTTTAAAGTGAAGAAAGGAATTTGGAAAGCATGACATAACCCATGGGAAAAACATGGTTGGGGTGGGAGGTGGAGAGAGGGAAATGAGTCACAGCTTTGTAAACTGGACTCCTAAAAGATCCTGATGACCCAAACTATCAGGTCACTGAAAGCTTAACATATTTGTGGGCGTATGTCATCATCATATGTCATCTGCAAGGTCAGAGTTACAAATGATAGATACAGGGTCAGTCTACTGCTCCTGTATATTTAAGCTGGCTTATTCTTTGAATACAATACAATATGAATGAATGAATGAATGGTTTCCTGGGATCAGCTAGAAAAAGGTAGTTGGTATATGAAGTCCTGACGTACAAAGCCCTGGGCTTGAAAAATCAGCCAATTGTTACAGAATCTAGAGGTAGAAGAAGGGATATTAGAATTCACCCAGTTCACAGATTCTTAACCTTTTCCACGTCATGGACCCCCGTTGGTAGTCTGGTGAAACTTATAAATCCCCTTCTCAGAATAATGATTTTAAATATACAAAATAAAATGCAGTATTATAAAGGAAATCTAGTATATTGAAATAGTTATCAAAATGTATTTTTTTAAAATGAATTTATGGATCTCAGGTTAAGAACCCCATATCCAGTCAAGCCCTCTCATTTAACAGTTGAGGAAGCTGTGGCCCAGAGAAGGGAAATAAATGACCTCCCCTAAGTCACAATGGTTCTAAGCAGAAGGGTCAGGATTCAAATCCAACTCCTTTGATTGCTCATAGCATGACTTGATTAATTAAAGTTAGAAAGAGAATTTTATTCATTGAGCATCAGATTATCTGGTCCAATCCTCTCATTTTACAGATCAGAAAACTGAGTTCCAGAGAGGGAAAGAGAATCCTCCAAAGTCCCAGTGAGCTTAGGGTAGAGGCAAGACCTTGATCCCTCATCTCCTTTCTGGTCCTATGCTGTTTCCATTACACCACATCTGTCTCTACTGATGATGTGTGAGCAGGATTTACAGGAGCAGCTGAGAGGAAGAAAGAGATGAGGTGCTCAGTGGGAAAATGAAATGGGGTGCTAAAGCTAACTCTGGCTAAAAATAAGAACAACTAAGATGAACTGGTACATTAGTCCATTTTATCTTAAAGGAAGATCAGACTACGCTGAAAGTTGTCTGAGAATGTTTCTGTAGTCTGTAGAGAAGGTTCCTTAACAAAAAGTGTCCATGGCTGAGAGTAGAGACCAGTTTCATGACTCCAATATAGGGTATATAGTCTGTTCTCTGTCAATCCATACCTTCTATATTTAGGGGTTCAGCTCAGATTCCGAGTCCCCTGTGAAGTATATTTTGGAGATTCTAGTCCCCACTGCTCCCCACCTGAATGTCTGCGGCGGTGTAGTCTGGGCTACATAGTTATGTCGTGGTTTTTAACCCCATAGGTGTCTTTCTCTTTCTAGGGTGTTTTTCCCCATAGGTTAATTTATTTAGTTACTTGTGCCTTCCTTGTTTACTTTTCTTATATTTCTTTTGTCTAAGGTATTCAAAAAGCAAATTATTTGCTCCGGTTTGGCTTTCTTTGTTGAAATGCTTCAAATGTCTCCTTTTTATTGAACACCCATATTTTTTCATGGATAATTAGGTTCAGGTTTGTATGATATATCACCTTGGATTGCATCTTGAGTGCCTTTGCTCTTTGGAACACATTATTTCATTATCTTCCGTAGTTTCTGGTGGGTACAGAATAATCTTGTATTATTCAAATTTTCTTCCCTTTACATTTGAAAGTCTTTCTCCAAGTCAGTTGAAGAATTGAACTGTTAAATTTAACGATAACTGTCTTTTAGTTTGCACCACAGGGTTCTTTTCTGGAGGCAATCTGAGGAATCTTTCAATAGGCACTTTGTTTTCTATGTTCAGATATTCTGGGTAGTTTTCATGTAGTATTTCTTGCATTTTGGTGTTCAGCTTTTGTGATCTGTCATGTTTTTCTGGGAGACCTATTATCTTTAAATTATCTCTACATACGTGTTTTTCTTATATAATGGCCATCTTTTCTTTTAATGTTATTACTTTTTGTTTTCTCTTCTTCCAATTTGTCCTTCATTTCTATGTATAGCCATTCTCAATCAGGTGTTCTCTCTTTGGTGAGATACTATTAATTATTTCTATCATGAAGGTCATAAATTATGCTGTCATGATTCTTATTTCTCTCTTGAACCTTTCAGAAACATCCTGCTGTGTGGTTCCCATACTCTTTTGGGAATCCACAGGGTCCTCTGAATATTCATTTTTGTTTGTCCTATGATATTTATTCAGAGATGTTTGGACTCATTTGGATGATTTGGAGGTGATCTTCCTTGTTCTTATTTAATTATACTCAAGGTTTTTAACTGAGTTATCCTACTCCTGAGATCTTTGGTAATTTTTTTCTTTCCCTGCCCTTATATTCCCCTATCATTAACTTTCTGATTACTTCCCCTTCAATGGCCATTTCTCTGAAGCTGAGACCTCACCTCTTCCCCCAATGGGTAATTCATGTTTTACTAGGCTCAGTCTCTACCTCAAGTGACTTCTTGGTGGGGGACAGCAGAACTGGTCTTAGCTGGATGTCAATCCCCTTTCTTTCAGGTATGGGGGAGCCCCACACACATGCTGGTGCCTTACTTCAGCTCCCTCTTTTCCATAGTTCTCTTGTTGAGTACTGATGCACTGCAGCAAGGATGCTGCTACCCCAGACAGAGCAAGCTTCTGTTTTCCTGTATCTCTACCTCCTGTGAACATGGTGGGGGAAAGAGGTGAGTTGAATTCTATTATTTGTTGCCTCAGAATGGTGGAGTGGGGGCAGGGCCAGGGAGGGGGTAGTGTGTGCTATCAGACAGTGTAGCAGCAGCAAGGAGACTACCAAGTGGATCCCAGACCACAAACGCTATGGGTTGGGTAGGGTTGTCCTACCAGACCATGAAAGCCAGTGGAGGAGGGAGTACTGAGTGAGTTAGGAATTAGCTTTCTCTGTTTTTAATTCATCAGACTGTTACCTGAGTTAGACTATGGAGACAGCTATAATTCTTATGCATAATTGTTATTTTGGAAAGGTTTGAGAGACTGTGAGGATCAGAAAAAATGTCTGGTCCTCCATCTTGTTATTCATGTAACCCAGAAATCCTGGGCTGTTCACTTATAGAGAGGCATCCTTGTACAGTAGAAAGAATCTTGGCCTTGGAGGTAGAAGAACTTCTTGGGTTTCATCTCGTATTCTCCTGTTGCCTCAATGTTGTGACTTTAGGCATGGTACTAAACTTATTAGGTCTTGTTTTTCTCATTTTAAAGCTGAAGGGATGGAATAGCATGACCCCTAGGATCCCTTCCAGCTCTAAAAACATATGCTTCAGTGACCTAACATCTAAAGTATTTTAAGGAGTAACTTAATCTCAGGATGGATCTGATTGACCAGGAAGGAGTCAAGAGAACTTCCAGCTCTTCTACTTATCAGTTGAGTGACCTTGGGCAAATCAATTAATGCTTCTGAGCCTCAGTTTCAGCATTTGTAAAACAAATGGGTGCACTAGGTGATTTATAAAGTCCCTCCCAACTCCAAATCCTATGATTATATATCATACTATACTGAAATACAGCTATTAAAAAAAAGTCCACAGAACCTAGGGTAAGAACCGTTGGTCTAATAGATGAACAAAGTTGATACTTACTGTATTAGCACACAGATCCCAATGAGGACAACCAAGGCTACTATGGAGACCACCACCAGGGCAGTGATGGTCTGCTTCTTCTGATTGGCTGCCACCACAGCGAGAAGGTCTGCATGTTCACATCGCGCCCCGACGTAGCCAGAATGGCATCTGTGGAGAAAGGCAAAGTCAGCAATGCTCTGTGAGGATGCCTCATCCTTCTGGAGTGGCGATGGGATGGAGGGGCTAAAGACCACAAGGGAAGCAGAGCCAAACGGAAGGAGCCCTGGACAGAGAGGTCAGAAGACTTAATGCTGCCTCTGTTTTGTATCACCTGTGTGACTCACTTTCCCACAGAGACAGCATCAGCTTTTTTATCTGTAAATTGAGAAGGGAGGGGGGAGGAGTTGGTGGTAGTGAGTTAGGCAATCTTTGAGGGCTCTTCTACATCTAAATCCCGCAAGTGTATGAGGGAAGGCTCACGAGTGATTCTCTCGAGTGACCTTTTCAGTTCTGTTACATGACCCAGGGCAGAGACCTTACCTCTAAATGCACGCAAAGGGCCATCATAATTCATACACATCTATTTCACAGAACAACTGGAAGAATTCATTAGGGACGACTAATTTTATGATTCTAGGATGAAAGGGGCTCCCCAAGGACTATGCTGCTCTTTGGCCAAGCATTGCAAATGAAGAAAAAAGACTAAGATGCCGAAGATGAAAGTGCATTTTAATATTCCATGAGAGCCAGGTACTTTTTTTTTTAATGAAGAATTTATGAAGATGAGATAAAATAATTGTGCTACCTTCAATCAACCCTAGAGTGATAGATGGGAATTCGTTTTGTTTTCTCTTAAACTACACCTTCAACAACTAATCCAAATAACAATGGGTTCAAGAGGTGGTGTACAATAAGTGCTAGACCTGGAATTACTCCAGAAGACCTAGTTTTGAATCTCATCCAAGGTACTTACTGGCTGTGTGACCTTTGACAAGTCACCCTTTCAGTTCTTGGGACCTTAGTTTTCACTTCTCTAAAATGAGGGCTTCTGGACTCAATGACCTCTAAGCTCCCTTCCAGATATAAAAATCTATGATACTATGCTCTAGGATCAACCCATAGTGATTGTTACTACATAACAGCATTCTGAATGACCTTGGGCATGTTCTTGGACATATGGTACCCTGGAAAGAGTGGTGCATTTGGAGCTGGTGTACCGAGGTTCAATTCCGGCTTTGCTATTTATTCCCTGTGGAGTTCTGGACAAGTCACTCTCACTGAGCCTCAGTTTCCTCATCTGTAAAAGGAGGGGGTTGGACCAGAGGGCCTTTAGGGACTATCTTAGTTTTAAATTTATGATCCTTGAATTTCTGAACCTCAGTTTCCTCCTTTGTAAAATAAGGGAGCTTGGTTAGTCTCTAAAATCCATTCCTACTTTTAATATTCAATGATTCTAGATTTTAAAATTCCTTTACAGTGATCATTTAAGTAGCAGAAACCAGTTTCTTGGGTATGAAAGTCTCCCCCACCTACTCTGACTGTATCAAAATCAGCTCTGCGCCAAGTACCAGAGATAACAAAGGGACTATAAGGAAGCCCCCAACCCCACCATGTCACTCCAGGATTATACACTTTCTTACCCAAACAAAAATCTCCCACCTTGGACATTTTCCATCCAGACAATTTTTATTTCTATCCAGAAGTCCCTTAATGAACACACATGCACAAACACACATGTACTCACATGTGTGTGCATAATACAATTCTGTATATATCTATTGCACTAGGGGATTTTTCCTTGAAAATTCTGTAAAAGCATGACCTGGCCAAGAAAGTGAACACTGTTTGGCACATTTATGACATGCCAACTATTCTGTCCACTATATACATTCACACCCTTTCCCCAATGTTCTTTCTTTTTAAACTCAGGATAAAAACATCATTCAACTTTTTATTTTCCTTATTTATGGCAATGAAATGACAGTTACTTGGTAGTCACTACTTCTATGCATAAAGATAGCTCCTTTACTTTCTCGTTTTAGATTTTAAAACTTTTAAGGAAATAGGCAAGAGGATGAGGTGTCATGAATGAAACCTTTAAGCAAGGAAGAATTTTGATTCAACCTCTAGCCTGGAAAAACAAGATTTCTGAGTATGCCACAAAGGCCCTTGGGTCATTTATATATTTGAGGAACCAATTTTCCTGTGGAAAGAGATGATTGCAGGAAGTCCAGAGGGCTGTGGAACATGTCGACGCCTAAGGAAACTGGTAAGATTCAAACCTTTAACATCACGGCCGTGTTAAAGTGGGGATTGGTTCATGAATACACAAAAGTGCTTGTTTATTTGGAGCTAAATTTCAAAATTTTAAAATGCTTCAGATTCCAAGATATAAGTTTTGATCGCCTTTTTAGGAACAATGAATCACTGAGACCCAGAGAGGGGAAGGAGTAGTAGGAGAGTATGACATACTCAGATCTGAGCTTTAGGAAGATCCCTTTGGCAGCCAAGTGGAAAATATACTAGAGTGGAGATGTGGGAGTGGAAGAATAAGCATTTATTAAGCAGTTAGGTGACCATAGTGCATAGAGCACTGGGCTTGGAATCAGGAGGACTCGTCTTCCCCAGTTCAAATCTACCCTGGGCAAGTCACTTAACGCTGCTGGCCTCAGTTTCCTCATCTGTCAAATCAGCTAGAGAAGGAAATGGCAAACCACTCCCCAGATGGGGCCACCAAGAATCAGATACAACTGAACAACAATGTGCTCCTACATTATTGTAACATATAAAAGAAGTTAAGCAAATTTTTGTGAACGGAAGGTATGGGGAGTAAATTCTCCCACTTAGGCAAGACCTCCTCAGGTCAAACCTGGGTTATTAGCACAAGTCATAGGCTCATGAGATCATAGGGTTTAGTACTGAAAGGAACCTTAAAGACATTCTAGTCCAACTCCTTATTTTCAAAAGAAAAGTGGTGAGGAATCTACCCAAGCTCATGCCAGTAGTAAATTGAGAGTGTGGAACGTAAGCTCCTTGAGGGCAGGGGCTGTTTCATTGTTGTCTTTTTTATCCCTAGCACCCAGTGCAATTCCTAGCTGTGGGTAACTGTTTAGTAAGTGCTAGTTGAATTAAAATGGATTTAATTAAATAGCAAAAACCAGGATACAAGCCCAGGCTCTTTTGACTCAAAATTTTGTGTTCCTTCCATTTCATCATAGGCCTACAGCTATGTGGGACAAAGTCTCGGCTTCCCTTACAAGTCTGTAAAAATGGGACTCACCTGATTTCCATCAGAGAAAGGTTAATGAGAATTAACTGATCCACATAAAGAGCCCAGTGTAGCTGGATGAAAGGCAAAACAGTCTAAGCATTCCAGCCAGGTGTATTCTTTCCCCCAGGTCCTCCCCTCCCCCTATGTCCCCACCTTCTTCCTTTCTTCCCCGCTGCAGTTGATGATTAAACTCTAAGACCACAAGGATGCTTTGGTGTTTCCCTAGGAGCAAACATTGCGGCTGGGTGTATTTCCATTTAAAAAAAGAAGAATTATAACGTCTATGAAGTAAGCAGGGCCCCTCCAGGCTCCCAGGCAAACTGCCAACACAGACTGCACAGTGGGGGAGTTTGGCCCCTGGTCAGAAAACCCAGTTGGGGCTTCTCAGCTTTCTAAATGTTCTACCTGATGAGCAGGGCCAAGTTGGGGAACCCAGGCCCCAGTGGCCCAATCCCCAGTCAACAAAGTGATTGTTGTTGGGCCGGAGAGAAAGAGTTCAGTATCACAGGGACCTTAGAACTCAATCTATGGGTAGGTTTTCAATCAGAAATTGATCTTATTTCTAAAATTTCTGCTTCTCCCCTACTCTCCAGTATGCTGAGATTCAGAGACTAGACTCATCAGATGCCAGAGCTGGAAGGGATCTTGAACATGAACCTGATTCAACAGTCGGTCAACAGACATTTATTACATGCCTACTATATGCCAGGCACTGTGCTAAGTGCTGGGGATAGGAAAAGAGGCAAAAGACAGTCCCTGCCTGCCCTCAAGAAGCTTATAACTAATGTGGGAGACAACATGAAAACAAATATATACAAAACAAGCTATATACAGGATAAACAGTAAATAATTAATGGAGGGAAGGCAATAGAATTAAGAGGGGTTGGGGAAGGCTTCCTATAGAAGATGGAATTTTAATTGAGATTTAAAGGAAGCCAGGGAAGTCAGTACATGGAAAGGATGGAGAGCATTCTAGGCCTGGGGGACAGCCAAAAAAAATGCCCAGAGCACAGAGATGGAGGGTCTTGTTTGGGGGACGGCCAGGAGGCCAGGTTACTGGATTGAAGAGTACATCTTAGGGAGTAAGGTGTAAGGAGACTGGAAAGGTAGGAGGGGAATAGGTTACCAAGGGCTTTGAATACTAAATGGAGGATTTTGTATTTGATCCTGGAGGCAATAGGGAACCACTGGAATGTACATGTAGGTGAACAGGTCAGACCTACCCTTTAGGAAGATCACTTTGGTGGATGAATGGAGGACAGACTGGAGTGGAGACAGACTTGAGGCAGGCAAACTCTACAGCAGGTTAACGCAATTGTTGAAGCGTAAGGTGATGAGGGCCTGCACCAGAATGGTGGCAGTGTCAGAGGAGAGAAGGGGGCATATACAAGAGATGTTGCAAAGGTGAGATGGATAGGCCTTGGCAATAGATTGGATATGGGTGAGGGGTGTGAGAGATGGTGAGGAGTCCAGGGTGTCTCCTAAATTTCAAACCTGAGGGACAAGACAGATGGCATTTCCTTCTACAGTAAAGTAAAGTTAGGAGGCTAGGAGGGCTTAGAGGAAAAGATGAATTTGGTTTAGGACGTATTAAGTTTAAGATGTCTACTAGACATCCAGTTTGAGATGTCTGAAGGCAATTGAAGATGCAAGATTAGAGGTCAGCAGAGAGGTTGGGACAGGACAGGTAGATTTCAGAATCATCAGCATAGAGGTGAATTAAATCCATGGGAACTGATGAGGTTATCTAATGAAGTACCATAGAGGGAGAAGAGAAGAGGGCCTAGGATAGAGACCAAGGGGTGGGGGAGACCACATGTGGTTAGAGGGCAGGACCTGGATGAGGATCCAGAGCATCAAAGGAATGAAGAGATCTGTCAATGGCTACTCTATAAGT